ATGGTAAAATCATGAGCCTTTTGGCTTTGGACTAATATCATGCATAGTTTGTACTGTATAAGGGAAATACCATGACCATTAACATGATTTTCCTACTGGCAGGGAATAACCACTTTTCTGGCAAGGGGTAGTACCCTGGCTGAGGTAATGCATAGTTAGTCTCCCACTTTCACTTCCAGTGGAAAGATCTAGGCTTTATGCCAACTTTATGGAAATGGGAGATTTCTCCCTAGCTTGCTCCTGTGGCCATATGGCTAAGGGCAAGTGAAACTCAGGGGCATCCGAACCCCAAGCCTCTAGGCTTAGGCCTGCACATAGGATGCCCGCCAAACGACTTGGAAGCATCTGAAACCCGAGGCACTGTTACAGGATGTTTGCTGTAGTAGGGCCACATATAGTTCTTGAATGACTCACAGATTGGGAATTGATTTGTTTGATTTGGCCTTTGGACACAAAAAAATTTTCCTAAAAATAAAAAAAATTAAAAGTTTTCTTAAAAATAAAAAAAATTAAAAGTTTGTACAAGGAGGTGCCAAAGTGCTCCTCAAAAGGGTGTTTATGGAGTGCCTGTGCTAAAAGTTGCAGCATATTCTTTAAAAAAGGTCATATGCACCAATTCTGGATTAACTAGATCTATGGGTACTATATACGAATTACTATAGCTATGTTTAAATTCAAGGTCAGTGCTTTCAGATTTGCTTTTTACTTCCATGTGCTCAGAGAGAGCAGGCTTGGATGGTAAAGGGGAAGGGAGGAGCTGCAGAGGAAAGAAGCTTGAAGGAGACAGAGGGCAAGGGGGTTACCTGACCCCCCAGATTTATTTTCCCTGCTGCAGCAGTGGGAACGGGGGAAATTCAAGGCAAACTTCCGATAATTAGATTCTATACCTGGAAAATTATAACAAATTTGTAAATTTTCCATAAATAGAATCTAGTTATTGAGGGGTTGTCTTATAATCAGGGTCATCTATTTAAGTAAATACAGTATATGAAAAGGAAGAAACTTCATTCAGGGTCCCCTTTACAATTCTTTCTTGTGCATATATGAAAGCTATAGTCCAATTCTCCATGGTGTACTATTTTCTACCTAAGAAATTCCAGTGTACTGGGAAGTGCAGCAGCCCTAGTACAACGCCTTGTTTATTATATGAAAATGATTGTTTAAACTGATAGTGGATGATTAAGATAGCATATTTTAAGTACTGGACTGCACTGAAGTCTGGAGGAAGCTGCTAGTCTTGGTCTGCAGTCCAAATATTTCCAGTAATACAAAGCCAACTAAGGGTATAAAAAGAATATTCCGCACAGTTGCCATTGCCAGCAAATGCCCAGTGTTGACACATTTATGTTGAGAAGAGGGAGTCTGCTGACAGATCTTACCGTTCAGGGACCAGGTACTGTATAGCAAAAATGGCAGAAAAAACCCAACTGCCACCATATGCCAAGTCTCCGCTAGAGGACTCTGTCTGCAAAACTGTAACAACAACAGCCCCATAATATACATTTAACCTGCCTGCTGGGCTGCATTCAGTCAATGGAGCTTGTCATGGACCACATATGGACCTGTCAACAACAGACAAGTCGCAGCATCATCAGGGGCAGTGGTGGTGGGGTCAGCAATGGAGGCAGTAGCAGAAGTGGCAGACCAATTGGCCATGGGGTGAACAATGGCAGGCAAAGCAGCCAGAGAGCAAGTGGGGCTGTCTCGGAGCAAGCGCTGTTGCTGACACCTATGCCCAATGAAGCCACATAACCTTGGATTCTGTAGCACAACCTGGCCCCCATTGGTCCTCCTGCCTCCGAATTCCCTGGTCTGCAAGAAGCCACACAGGCCAGAGGGCCATATGTTTAATCTCCTGATCTAATACTCCTGCTACTCTATAATACCCTCCAAAGACTGATCTGTGAACTCCACAGCTCACAGCAGCAATGCCTTGGGACCTATCCATCTAACTGGCAGATTGGCTGAAGGAGAATGTTGTAATCTGAATTGGTAGATTATTAAACAAGGGTGGATTAAAAAGAAATAATATGAAGGTACAGATCATGCCATCCTTGCTGATGTGCAATTCAATTTTTCCATGCTGAGTCCTAACATGAATTAACATGTTCATTCTCAGAGCATGTTGACACTTAAGCATAACAACTTCCAAATTTTCCATCTAAAATACATGTGTGGTCACTCCATCACAAAAGGGAAAAGATCAAGGTCTACTCTAGATTATTTAAGTGGAGATGGTCCCTGGGTGGGGTAGGATAGAGCTAAGGAACCCAGAGGAAACAGAGACCCAGAAAGGCAAGTTATACTGCAGCCTAACGAGAAACAATAAGAACAGAAAATCATAGATTGATAGAAAATTAGGTTTGGAAGGACCTCAGGAGATCATCTAGCCCAACCCCCTGCTCAAAGCAGGATTATCCTCAACTAGATCATCCCAGCCAAAGCTTGGTCTAGCCAGGTCTTAAAAGCCTCCAAGGATGGAGATTCCACCACCTCTCTGGGTAACCTGTTCCAGTGTTTTACTACCCACCTAGCGAGAAAATTCTTCCTAATATCTAACCTAAACTTCCCTTGCTGCAATTTGAAACCATTGCTCCTTGTCTTACACATTGATGCTAAAAGGGCATTAGTGTGTAAAGATTCCACCTTGCCACCACTTCCCCATTAATTCTTCTGGGAAGAGTGTAGTAATTCCTTGGTTCTAGTCTACAATACATCACACAAAGTCATATTAAAAAGTCTTCCTTCTTTGAGAAGCATGGAAATGTATTGCTTTTAGTTCAGATAAAAATGGAAGCCAATTACTAAGGTCATGTACAGTGAGCCTAGAAGTTGGTCAATTTCCTAATTAATAGTAAGCATGTATAAACATATAAATAAATTTTGTATCCCAAGTATCTCATAGAAGCACATATCTCAAATCCCAAGTGAATTTGGAAGTGGCTCTTGTAGCACTTTTCTTTCCTTCCTTTGGGACTGCCTCATCTTTCCTTCCTTTGAGACAAAGCTTGCTTTTTCTTTACAAAATAAGATGCAGCTTTTTCAAGTAATTAAGGTTTGGTAAGAAGCAGCAGCTGTCTCTGCTTCCTTTAGTTGAAGAAGAAATTCCTGTGAATCCAGTCTTCTGTTGGAGCCATTCTGTACCCTTGTTTTGTTCTATAGTACTTCTCTTTAAATAGAGTAGAGAATGCCATGACTATAAAGGTCCTCTTTCCCAAAGGACCTGTACCAGTACTCATTTTCTGTTTAGAATTCTGAGTAACTTCCTAGTAGAAATATTTTTAAATTCACTTTAATCTTTACTATTTTGTTAAATATCTTCAGCATTTTAAAAGAACTCCAGTAAATCAATAAAACCTTTTTTATTTTTAAAGCAAGTTTAGTCATTTTCTTGGGGGAAATATTTCATGAAAATTTACAAGTCATTTGAATGATATCTTATTGTATATACACAATGCACTTCAACTCATAAAATGCTTCCCAAATTACATCAGTATGCTCATTCTATAACTTCAGACCCTATTTACAAACGTACCATTAAAGCAATGGACAATATTGTGTACTTTGATAACAGTATATCAATGCCAGTTGCCTCTCTGGCTTTTTTCCCCACTAGTGGTAATATGGATAACACTGAACATATGAAAAATCTGAGTCTGGGAACATAACAAAAACACTATTTAAAACATCTTAATAATAAAAACATGTTTTTATAAAAACTGATATTCAGAATGGATGCATATTTCTAGAATTTCATTACTGCATAAATGAATTATTCATTGCATATTATCATCATTAGGTAACAGAGTAGAGCCAACTAGTGTTTGAATCTAGCAAAAATTTTCAAATTTCAGCTACTTGATTTGAAATAATTGTTAAGGTTGCTAATATTGCTTGAGGTCATTTCTGCCTCCATGTTACACAGGTTATTGTTTCTCAGTGGATCACAGCAACTGAAATCATTACCACATTTCCCACTCACTGCATGGTCAGGGTGGGTGGATTTAAGGACTTGCCTCTGCAATTTCTTACAGATGGATGGACAGCTGTAGCCACAAAGCCTCACTGAGGTCAATGAGGCTTAGTGCAGTCATCCACTTGTATAAGGGGGTACAGATCAAGGTCTAAGACATTATGCTGTAGCCAATCCCTTAACCCACTTGGTGGGTTCAAGGCTAGAAGGATCCTACAGCTTTTCATTTGTAGCCCATAACAGCGCATTTATAAATGTTTCCTGCATAGTGCTGAATTCTATGAATTTTGTGGTTGCTAATGAATATTTAAGTCATTGGTTTCTTAATTAAGTTGTTGTGCCTTTGACTTTATTAGCAAGTTAACATACACATCTTTATCGTATGTCAGCTCTTGGCAATAGTAATGCTTAGCTTCACTGAAATTGTTCATGTTTTTAATTTACATTTTGTTACTAAACAAGTAAAAGCAAAACACTTTCAGTGACAATACTTTGGGTGTACTTATAGTCATCATGTGGTATTTATACCATTAGTTTATGATGATGACAAATGAAAAATGCTAAAATAAGAAAACCCATCCAGTGGGTTTTATTTGTCCATTCCACAAGCATTTCTATAGTTAGCATAACCATTTTTATATCTCTCTAGCCTACCTAATGACATTACAGCATATATATTAGCAAGAACAAAAAGATACTTTTGACAGAATAGAAGAAATGCATGCTAAAGGACCCTGACAATGGTTCATTTTCCCAGAGTTTTTTTCTTTTCACTAAATAAAATATTTAATGGAACTTAATGTAAGGAAATTACAACTAATAAATAACTAAATTACGAATACATTGGATTTTAGTCACTGCAGCAACAAACTGCACTTTTCATGAATACTCAAAAAAAATCCAATAATGTAACCTCTGGTAAAGCTTGAAAAGCCCTGAAGGACAAGGCAGTTAGATCAATATTAGTTTATTTCAACTGCTGTGCAGTATGAAAAGATGAGGTTGATCATCTGATGGATTTTATTACCTGTCGGGGAGATAAGTCCTGGTGATAAGAGGCCTGGGACTCCATGGGGCAGAAGACGTGCATTTTCTTGAATTGCAACTCCCAGAGAACGCTTGGGGGGTCTTCCTGGTCGTGAGCTGATGAAGTAAGAGGATAAATTTAAATGTATTTTCCTTTTGAAACATTTGCTTACTATCTTGCCTATTGATCTATATAGAAAACACAATCCATCAATGATACTAGAATAAAATGTATAAAGACACATTCTTCCCTAGGAGACAAGTAAAACACGTAACAATCATTGTACTGTACTCAAATGATCCAGCAATGAAATATTGAGTAACATATATAAAATCATGCTCCCAAAGTCATATATTATGAATGAATAGTAGGACTAAAGAGCTAAGAGAATGTTAAAAATAAATAGAAATGGAATTAAGAATTCTGCATACTTAATCCTTACTGTGCTACTGACTTGAAGTAGTCACAACCCCTGTTTCTCTATGTCCCCATCTGTAACATGGATGTTTCTATTAAGGTACACAAATGTAGATATTTCAGTAACATGTATTATTTCTGAAGTCAGTGTCACACACTTGGATCTGGACAGGTTGAAAGCTATATCTCTTAAAAACTGAAACCTTTGAATGCAATATGTACTCCTTGAGATAATTCCCCCACCCCTTGTTACCTGGTATATTACAAACCACTCTTGAAGCGGTTGCACTAATTTAACTCATGGCCTTTTCAAGCTTGACTTCCCTTCCTTACATATTGATTAGTGCTTTTGACTGTTGTGCATGTGCTAAGCTGACAGTGTTACCTTAACCTATCAACTTCTCACATTATTAATTTTAGCTTGTGTAGATTATGAATTGTTGTTGCAAATTTTAATTCACAGATTAAAGAAGCAAAAGGTCTGTATGTTTATTTACTGCATTGACTTACTTCCTTAATACAGTTTTGGTATATGCACATCATTCTGTGGCTTTCATAACAGTACAGAGATTTACAGAGCATAAAGACATTAGAATCAACTCTTTCCCAAGCCAACTATTAAAAAATATATAACTTTCTAATGTTTGGAAAGATATTGCCACTTCTCTTTGGTAAAAATACATTTTACTCAGATGAATAATAAAGCTTTTGACAAACTAGTGTGAAACATTGTATTAAATAACTTGCTGCAACAATGAACGAGTTTCAAATAGAGATCATTTCCAGAAATGACTTTGGGTTCACAAAGAAATTTAAGTTAAACCTCACTCTATCAACTTTGCAGTGGCAAAGCACTTCATCAATGTAGGACAAACTCTGTGTTTAAATGAAGACAACTTCCAGCAACGCTACACAGAGGTACCATTAACCTGTTCATTTTTCACATGATGTGCTAGTGTTATTTTGTTTTCATCAAACATCAAAGTGCATCAAAGTAGCATAATATTTTCTCTTTGCTTTATTATTTTGTCTATAAACCCTCTCCCTCCTCTTTTACCTTGGTTTCAGGCAGTTTTATACTTCATTTTATTCAATGCCTTTTCCATTTCATTCATGCTCTGAGGGAGCTATATCAGTATACAGTTATGAAGTAAAATCAACTGCAAAGTCCAGAGTCTTTGGACCATATGATAATCACCACAGAGTAAAAAACCAAAGTATTACACACAAAAGTTGGACACATTTTTTCTGTGGCTTTTTGCTCCAGCAAATAATATTAACGTGCAAATATATATACCTAGTAATTTGTAAAATAATACTATCTCCAGAATTTCAGTATTGCTACTACTACTACATCATAAGTCTGACGAAACCTTCCTACTATTTCAGTTTCAATGAGAATTTTAGCCTACTACACTATTAGCACTTTCTTTTTTTTTTTTTTTTTTTTTTGTTTTTGTTTTTTTTTTTTTACAAATCATAAATGCAGCTTGTGCAATGGCATCTCTTGACATATGCGTGTATTATTGTGATATACTACACCTTATATTTCTATCACCCAATGACTAGACCACCTATAATAATTTATCAGACTATATTACATTTTTCTTTCTTGTCAGATAACATCAGACTTAGAATTTAGGTTTTGTTAAATAAAATTAAATTGTTACTTTTTACTAAAAATAATTTTACACAAAGATGCCTGACTAGCATCCTTAGAACCTCTGACAAGCCATAAAAACAAATCAACTCAAAATACTAACTATACTGACTGATAGTCATAGAAAATTCTCAGAAGGATTCTTACAAAACTTACCATCTCAATCTTATTTACAGGCAGTCCTCAACTTAAACGTTTCGAGTTACAACGTTTCACACTTACAACTTTTATGAATTGACACCCTGTTTCAACTTTATGACGTCAGTTTCGACTTACAACGTTTGATCCGATGCAATGCCACAACAGCGAACAAATTAGCTGCATCGCTCATCTCCCTGGGTAACATCTGTCCAAACTTCCTTGGACACTTTCTTTAAGAAAGCAAACAAGACTCCAGAAAAACCTGCAGCCAAGACTCCTGAGAAGCCTCCAGCCAAGAGAACCTTTCAAAAAGTCCAGCAAAGTCACCTCAAAGAAGTCCTTCCAAATCAATATGATTGCTATTCACAATATGAATACATTAATGTAGCTATATTACTCATGTATAATTGATCGAGTACAAAATTCTGGGGTACTTCTGGTGAAAGTAGGGTATCAGGCCTTGGTTCAGGAACCAATCCCCATTTATAACATTGTTTCTTATGAGAAAACTGGTTCTGAGTTACAACATTTCAACTTAAGACGCCGTTTTCAGGAACCAATTGTATCATAAGTCTGAAGACTTCCTGTACTATAAAGGTTTTACATAACTAATATTAATCAACAGCCTTTTAAGAAAAACATTTTAAATTAATGATATTGCGAAGAAATTATTTCATCACTGGGGATGGGGATAGGTTATCTTTGACTTACATGAGTAGTAAGTGTTTACTGGTTATAACCCTTAAAAACTTCCCTAGTAGTGTCTGCTACATAAATAGCACAAGCAAAATGAAACTCTTAAGTCTTTGTCATTTACTAAGCTGTACAAAATGCAAATGGTAAATAAATATCACAAACAGTGAAAAAATAATTAACAAAAAAAATTTCCTCAACACTCATATAAATAGGTCTCCTGACCTCAAAAGGATACTCACATGAGTAACTTGAACATGATTTGACCCTTAAACTCCCTCTATAGATGCAGGAAAAAGTGCAGTGGTACATAATGCACGATCCACACAATCATATCTCTTGCCATGCCACCTCTGTATGGCAGAAGGCATGATTGTGGGATTGCACATTAGATTTCATTTAGTCTTATTGCTGGTGCAGGGGAAGCCTGATCCTCGGCTCTCCCCGCACCAGCAAGAAGCAAGCTCCCATGGCTGGGAGCCCATCAGTTGAGAGAGGGCTCCATACACCTCTGGGACTACAGGATCAAAGCAGCCATAATCCCCCAGGCCCAAGAGTTTCATGAACCCCTGACCCTTGGGGATCACAACTACTATGAACTATCAGGCCCAAGGGTTTTCCTCTGAGCATGGTGCGTCGCTACATATAGTTTCCCCATCAGCTGATGAGACTTCCACTACACATGCAAATTAAAACTCGATAACAACCAACTATAAAATTCAGACATGTTTTCAAGATCTAACTTTATAGCTGGCTGGAGCTTTGTATGGTGTGATAAGTTCCTTATATGGTCACTGCTTTTACAAACTGTTAAGACAATGTGACTTTTTAAGGACACCACAAATCAAGCCCTAGAGTACACTGCATAGTAATGTTGCACATATTGTTGCACAGAATTGTTACATGCAACAATACTGCGCAATGTACTCTATGACCTGATGCTGAAGACAGGGTAGATGTGTACCTTATAGCCTACAGATGCACAAGTGTATCCTCTTTAGATAGTCTATAAGTGTTTGTATTTATGTATATGTATACAGACACACAGAGTACCTACATGAGACAGTTAGTGTCCAGATGACTAATAACCTGCACAGTAAACATCTTGACATCTACATGTGCACCTATATTAGGCTAGAGAAAATTAATTTACTCCACAGCAGGATAGTACTTGTAAATAGTAAATACAACTACTAACCTGCTGTAGAGTAAAAACCTCTGCAGTAGCACATGTGTAGCTAGCCCCTCCACAGCACATACAGTTGGCTAGCCCACACTGAGCCAGGAGAAGCACCCCCCAGGCTTGCAGGCTGACCCCCCTGGGCCTCCTGCAACAAGGGCTGCTCCAACCCAGTTCAATATTCTGTGTGTGAATAAAGTCCAAAGCTTTTTGCTCCTGGGCACACATTCAAATTGCATGCTCAGAAGCAATAAACTTCTGGAGTTTATTGCTCTGGAGTTTCATGCATAGTTATAGCACATGTAGACATGTCCACATATATCTACTTTAGTTAGTCTCTAAGATCTAGATAGATAGAGAAATAGAGAAAAAATGGATAGATCTCCTGATTCTGATCCTTTTTAGAGGGTTGTGACTTTGATTGCAGTGTTACTATTCCTTCATTCACAGTAGTGTCAATAAAATTATTTCTATTTTAAAACCAAAATTTAAATTAAAAACTAAAAGTCTGGCTGCTATTCATAACTGATTCATGTTCAATCATACAATATCTGTCAATTTTATATAGGTTTTTTTTAAAGGCATTCAGCAAGTTTGTATGGAAATAACTTCAACTTCCTGGCTGGGAATTAGACATAATACTAATCACAGCCAAAGTTTTCCACAGTGAAAAGTTACTGGACTAAAATTATCTCTTTCCCATGTCAAAGATTTAAACTCCACCTTCAGAAAAACTAGAAAAACATACCCAATGCTTGCAAACTTTTGTGTCTTTTATTATTTTGTTTAGATTGGTTATTATGTTTTTCCCCAGTCCTCAGGGGCTTCATTCAGCACTCCACAGTGAAATAGATTGCAATACTGATATTAGTTCTGGGCAGATTTTTTTAATCTACATAAAAATTCAAGTTTCCAGTGAAGAATCAAAATTGAAACTATATTCTCTAATGCCATTGCCCAACCACAATGCCTTATGGGAGATATAGTCCATGCTTTTTTTCTCCCCTAATGACACAAGGCAGGGC